GGCGGGAGGGAGGGAAGGAGGAAAAAGGCGAGGGGGGAGGAATATAGGATATATAGGGGACCATACACGTTTTAGACCCCTCATACCTTTCACTCCCCTTCTGCGCTCTTCCCTCCTTTGCATTCTTGTCGTTCACGCCATTGTCCTCCCTGTTGTCCGTAAGGGAGAGAGCTGAGGGTGTCGAAGGAGGAGGGAAGAGCGCCGCGCCAGTTCCCGAAGCGCAGCCTCCCGGCCCGACCACGATCCACTCATTCCCTTCCTCCTCATTGTCCTGGACGGTTTGATGAAGGCAGCAAGCTGCCATGGCCATGGAAACTGTAGGGGAGGAGGGAAGAAAGGAGGGAGATAGGGAGGGAAGGAGGGCGGAATTGGAGCATAAAGAGACCTCAGGGAGGAGGTTGCTGTTGCCTCGACTCTCAAAGCGGACGGGGAGCCATAAAACCGTCACAACAGCGCAAGACGACACAGACAAAGCAAAAAGACGGGTACACCACACACCCTAGAGGCATTCCCATCAGACCGTATTGAGCAGATGGCAAAAAAGGAAAAACAGAAGGGGAGGGAGGGAGGAAAAGCCCGGGCCTGTGGAAGATCTTTCCTAAGCGTTCCACACAATCTGCGTCCTGGTTTTTGGTTTTTAACGTGGATTTTTTCGACTCGAAGGACTGTTTTGGCGGCAAGGATGCACAGAGACGTGATTTTGGGGCCCCGACTGGTGGGGTTGAACTTTGGTTTTCGACCCAACATTCACCACGTCTTCAATACGCCCCTTGTTCGTTCAAGCAGCAGAATGGGGCGGGGAAAATAACACGAAAAATGGATCTCTGGTATTTTTCCTCCCAAAAGAGCGTCTACAGCCATTAAAATGTACTTGCTAGTCTGTGCACGGATGCGTGGAGGAAACAAGTCAATGTGGGGATGATCAAATCGGTCCTGTCCGCCGTGCTTACAGCGTCAAGGGGGTAAGCGGGTGTGACGCTTCTCTTTTTGGCACTGAATGTGAAGAACGAAAGAAATTATTCGAAGGTACATTTGTACTGCTGCTCGAATGAAAAGGTAGAATTTCAAAACGACGACCACAATGTTACAACATC